ACAGATCCCCTAACAGCTCTAAAACGACTGATATGGTTATCGTAGAGATACTAGAGCATGTACCTACGCTGGAATTCGACTACAAACTAGTTTTTGGCGAATCGAACCTCCTCAGGGTGAACTGGGATACCTGCATTGGACCTACAGCCCACGAGGAGCTCCTAGAAGCTACATAACAATATTCTCGACTTAATCCTCTGCTACAAAGCAGAGCCTATCGTGATAGAGGTGGAGGATAAACTAGACAACAGTGATCACAACATACTGTACTGAACTCTACATTTTCAACTAACGACTAGACACAACTAACAATTCGCCGGTATTCTATCAATATAGGGACTATACAAATGCCGACTGGGGAATTCCTACCAGTGCTCCTGAGAAGCTCTGACTGAGGTGAATACTTTACCAATAATAACTTAGAAGTAACACTTAATACCCTCTACAAGACAATCAGTTTGGCAAGAGACACAATTGCACCCCTAAAATCTGCCCTAAAGACACCAACTCTATTCATAGACCGCAAAACGCGATTAAAACTAAGGAAACTTTGTGTATTTAAAGAATCTAATGCATTACAACAGATACATGAAACACTTAAAAATCCTGAAGAGAGACATAAAATGAAGGCACAACTCAAAGAAAATAAAACCCTAGGTGGCATCTCTAAAACTCAGAAACTCTTGAAGATCTTGCAAAAACGACTGAAGAAGGGTAAAGACAACAATGTTAGCCACTTGGAACATGAAGGTGTTATTTGTGATGGTCCTTAGCCAGTGGTTCTCTGATGACACCGAAGCACATCCGTCCACAATTCTTGTCGTAACCTGCCGAAATAACTACAAGTTAGGTTTAATCAACTTTAATATACAAAATATAGCATCAGTGGTAAAGACATTAAAATCTAACGGTAGTTGTGAGATAGATGATTTACCATCTGTCATGTACAAAAACGGTGGTACAGATATGATAGTATTATTACTTCGAATATTTACCCTCTCACTAGTGACTGGGTACTACCCTAAAACTTGGAAAACACGTACATATTACCTAAGCATAGAGGAGGAGCCAAACCTGGTGCATGCAATTATAGGCCTATCAATATAACACCTGTCATATCACGGATCATGGAGAAAGTAATCAAAGACCAAATATCAGACTACTTTCTAAAACATAAACTCACCAACCAGTCACAACACGGATTCCTCAAGAAAAGATCTTGCGTCATTCGCCACATCGACATTTTTAACGAAGTCACGTATAGAAGAGATAGGAGAGAACTGGTAGTTACCCTCTATTTCGATATAAGGAAAGCCTTCCAAAGGGTCCCACATAGTCTACTAGTCAGCAGGCTATGCTCACTAGGGATACGCAACCCCCTCCACAACTGGATAAAATCATTTCTCAGTTACAGAAATCAGACAACAAGAATTAGCTCGCTGACCTCCAAGCCTAGGCCGATTAGCAGTGGTGTCGTCCAGGGGAGTGTATTGGGCCCTTTACCCTTCATAATATACATAAACAGTATATGTGAGTGCTTTAGTATAGGCAAGCCAATACTGTATGCAGATGACTTAAATGTGACATATACCTGCACAAATACAGATATCGGTACAACTATGAACTATATACATGATGAATTAAGAAAAATGGATATACGGTGTGACACCTGGAGACTTGAATTTAATGTCGAAAAGTGTGGCTGGTTCTGCACAGACTGTCCCAACCTAGAACTCGACCTAGCAATCCAAAGCCACAAAATCCCCAGACTCAAATTTGTACTGGACCTCGGAATGAAATATTCACATAATCTATCATTTTCAGAGCATATCTCGAAACAAGTATCGAAATTACGGAGGCTTCTCCAAAAGTGAATCCAGAATACTACTCTACAAAGTTTGTGTGCGCCCACTCCTAGATTGCTGCTCATTCATATTTAGTAGTATACTCAGAGGAGACAAACTGAAAGTAGAATGAGTACAGAGGTAGTTCATGCCAAAAGTACTCGGAACAGAAGACGGCAGAGGCTACTCCACTAGATGTGAAATCCTACGACTCGAAACACAATGGTTAAGACGACTGCGACTAAATTTGGTACTCTCCTATAAGCTTCTTAACCACATAGGGTATACCTCTACTTGTGGTAATCGGTTTTTAGAATGTACTTTCAAAAATGCATTATCCATAGTTGTATTCCATACCATTTCGCAGTTTCCCAGGACGTCCTCCTCTTCCTGAAATAACGTCCGATCATGTGGCGGCATAGCACTCACCCAAATATACGCTGTTCACCGATTGACCATAACTATCAGCAGGAAACGGAACGAAGTTTGGATTGTCGCTCAACTTTGATGGTGGCCTTAGTGAAGAGTTTACGATTTAACATTTATGCGAACCTGTTCGGATTCCCTGTACAATAATCGGACAGTTTAAACTTTTGAAAAGGTGCCAATTTATGACACTTCACGGTTGTAATTTATAACATAACTGATCGTGCTTGTAAAAATGGCATGCATTTCGTGCAAACTTACCCGTTTATACGAAACATAAATTATTATTATTATTGAATATAACCTAATGCACACAAAAGGTACAGTAGCTAAGAACAATGTGAAACAGCCACCAGGCAAAAGCTTTTCTTGATTAGACATACCCAAACACGGAACAAACTAGCTAAGGAAATAAGGCTAGCAAGCACATTGGCCTCCTTTGGAAAAGTGCTAAGGGAGTTCGCAAGTGATATCAGTGCCAGTTCCCATGTAAGAGCTTCAGAAATCATGGAGCCATGTAATGTATGAACTTGGAGACTACACATGTTCATTTTGCCTGTTTATAATTTCAAACAAAACAGCATCGGTTATGACAAAAACACTCATACAAATAAGAGTCAATCGAATAATTTCTACTTGATACAGAGAGTGAAACAAAACAGACATACGAATGAAATGTGAGAAAACAAAGTCAAAGCTTACTACAACATCACACGGAAAGATATAAGTTACTTGGACATTATTTATAATCCACCAACTAGTCTACATTTCGAAAAGAATGCGGTGATGCTCTATTCACAGTGGTGGGGAATTATGTAAATCCATAGTTCCCGTTGTATGTACTCAGTAAAGGTAGGAGTCAACAAAGCAATGCATTTAAATCATACGTATTCTCTACATGATCACGGCGATACTTTATGGAATATGTCAAAATCGAATAATCAAACCCCACACGGAATGGAATTAACCAAATCTTAACAGCAGACAAGCTGTAGTATACGTCTGGATATTCATCCATATGTTGATCATGCTGATAAATCCAAATAACAAACTATACAGTGATAATTCAAATGAACTGTCGTCAAGATTTGACAGGATAGTATAAGTATATAAACCTATGTTATGTTAATTTCGATTAATTTCCCTGAAGAAGTTCGGACCAGATTGCCGAACGAAACGTTGGAATTACTCATTTCAATCTCGCTGAGACTTTACAAACGTATACAGCGATAACTTATCAGAATATCTAAAAAATAATAAAAATGTGCAGACATTTGTACTTGGAATCCCACTGACTCATTCGATGGTAACACTCTGCTCCCGCATGCTTCATTGGTCATTTTGCATGGATTAGTTCAGGGTCATTCTGGTTACTGACCGAAAAGAATAAAACAATCCACCGGTTCCTTATTATGCTGATCCACTAGTATTTTTTTTTGATTTACAGCTTGATTCCACACCGTATTTTCAGTACAGGTATGGAATTTTCAGCATGGATATCGGTAGCCCAAATTTACAGGCCGACCATAGATATCGGGTGTGCGCCGGCAGGGGATCGAACCCCGGACCATGTGCGTGGTCGGCGAGAGTCCTAACCACTGTGCCACCGACGCACAGTATGTCTTCACATGCTTAACTGGATGCTAAGTGTTTGATGAGCCTCTTGCAGATGATAATGCTGAAAACATTATCGTCGGTATGGGTATATTTAGAGCAACCTGTAGTCGAAAATTGCTTGTCGCACTTCATTGGGGGAAAAGTATTCGGAGGAGGACTGTATTAGCTCTGAGCTATTTCAAACTAGCTAGATATATCCCCCCATCTATTGTTAACAATGACAAATCTAACCCTCTAGAATCATGTGAATGTGTGTAAGGATGTCTCGGAGTTTCAGTGTTTGCTAACCACGTTTTCAGCTATCCAATAGCTTTGAATAACTCCATCGAAGATTGGGGGTAATAAAAGTCTCTTCTGAATGCGCTAGTTACAGACTTCCTACATTGCATGCATGTAGATATGTAGAGACGGTGGAAGCCAACCAGTCTAGTGAAACTTATGAATTTTTCTAGTGAATTTAATACTGGATAGTACCTAACAGAATTCAGTGCCTTCGGAAATGATGAGATTACTTGACCGTTCGTAATGTGCACAAGGAATTGCTACTTGAGTGTCTTCAATCCAACAATCCGTGAAAATATTCTCCATGATTATCTATATCCAGTTTAGCAGCCCTGTTCCATATTTCATATAAGTATAAAATGAAATGAAACTGAAGGTTGAATAACTTCGTTTTGTCATTGTACTGAGTGAATATTATAAACTCGCGATTTTGTTTAACTGTTTCAGTGGAAAAACTTACTGATAACGGAGGCATTCTTAGGATTTGTTTTTGAAGTGCAGGTCTGACAAAATGGCGACTCTAAGTGCTGGGATGAAATGCCTGAAGAGCTGTGTATTCATATTGAATATCATTTGTTTGGTAAGTGGAGGCCGCTTACACAATTGTTATGTTTTAGTTGTGTTCCCTAGCACTAATTGGTGCAGGAGCGTACGTGGAAGTTAAATTCAGTCAATATGGAGCCAATCTACATAAAGTTTGGCAAGCAGCACCTATTGCTATTATTGTTGTTGGAGTAATAATTCTTGTTGTAAGCTTCCTGGGTTGCTGTGGAGCTATTAAGGAGAATGTGTGCATGCTGTATATGGTATGTTGATATTCAGGAAAATTTAATGTGTGCAGTATGCCTTTTTCTTGATTGTGTTGTTGATCGCGGAGTTGGCTGCCGCCATTGTTGCAGTTGTGTACAAGGACAAGGTTTTTTCCATATTAGTAGCGACTATAGTTTTCAGATTGATGCAGAAGTCGATGCTTTGATGACCGGTGCTCTGGATCAAGAAACTGAGGAAATACGTGAATTTATGGATCTAGTGCAGTCATCAGTAAGTCCTCACCATTCTGTGTTAAATATCTAGTTCCACTGCTGTGGTGCTAAAGGCCCACAAGACTATGCCAAGAAAAGCATACCTCCGTCATGCAAAGGTGAAGGAAATGTAACATACAATGAGGTAAGTAATGGTCTAATTAGTTTGTCCTTCCTTGATTTTGTGTAGTTAGCTTTGTTTATAAATAGAATGTAACTTGAAATCGTATATTCACACTAAATTATTGCCTATATATTACGTAGTCAACCACTTCGATAGGGACCTACACATTTTACACTGGTTTTATGTCTAGGACAGAATACTCCAAGTGTGTTTTTATCCTCTCCCAGTATCTCTCCATGACATTTCACTTGAACGAATCCACGGAGAGCCTAGACACTACTTGTGTGACTCCACACTAGAATTTAATGACGTGGTGGGGGACCAATACCCTACTGCAACTTAGTTCATCTCAGACTTGAAATCATCTGTCTTCTGAGATGTCCCAACTCTGTGGATAATGCGAAAGATCATTTGATGGGAGTTCTTTCCGGGTCTAAATGTCATCATCTTTCCGTCAACTATATTTTAGCGTCTTTTCTGAAATATTTCTGATCGCCTTTAAAATACAAAACAGCATACTCCATAAATATTATAAAGCTCCTTTCCACCGACTAACTGGTATTCTCTGTTTCTTGAGCTTATCTGCTTCCAGGCTTCTATGGTAGTTTTCTATTAAGTCTTGTACTTTTAAACCATCCCCGTGACTTAATGTTCACCTCATTATATCTTTACTATCATGAAGTTTCACACATGCCTGATGTACTACTTGTGTGCGTGGTGGATAACACAGGGTAATGTCTCATTACTAGTTTATGTTAAGTGTATTAATGCAGGCGGTGGTTTAGCATGCTTGATGCCTACCTACCTTTTGACCACGTCACTACATTCGTCGTGGGTGCTCAAAGTTCTAACGACTTTCATGATTCCAATCTCTTTCAACTGAGCAAACCAACGTGTAAGCATGCTCATAACGAGTCAATATACCTTCATCGTTGATTCATGGTATGCAGAGAGCCCAATGTGCGACATAATGCCTATTAGAAGAGAGTTTCAAATTCGTAGAACCTTTTGATTTGATTACATCTAACCGTTTCTTAGAATTATCCTGTTTCGAGTGATATCACTGTGCTGTCTCTGGAAATGTAACAGGTAAATCAGTAGAGATTCATAGCACCAACTGACCAGTCTTTTTCAGTAATCATTTTTTTGATATCTTCAATTTGACAGGTGGATAGATGGGTTTTTAAACATCATTGGTATTTCACTGTCATTAAGTCAGTTGCATCTTACTAGTTTTCATCCAATGGGATTATGATGTTTATGCGCTAAAACAACCCGTAGAATGCTGAATTCTTACTAAGTAATTATCAGCACTGACTGACACACTAACGCCAAACTAGCTCAACCTGCCACTAATTGAAGCCTGTAAAAGATAATACAAAATGTACTCATTCTATAGTGGCTAGAAGAAAACCTGGATGCGTAAACCTCAATTTATCTTGAAGACTGACAAAAAGTACACTAATTTAGCTCATTTTTGGTGCTGTTGTAACGTTCCTTTTTACAGCAAAAATGTGATACATATATTTGTTTTTGGCTTGTCTTTACTATTCGCTCACGCCTAATATTGTACAATTACTGTAGCCAGACAAAACCTAGGTGATATGTTGCGCATTTGAAACGATGCCGATCATTACCTGTTAGGGCGTTTTGGTTTGAAGCACCTAGGTTTAATGTTATAGAAGTAAAAAGGCTGTACGGTTCGCTGTTTGCCATCATCGTAACATGTTATAGGTGGATAGGTAATCAGTATAAAAGATAATTATTTCTCGTATCTGTTAATGCTGCTCGATTTCTTTTAGATTTTGTAGAATTTGCAAGTAATCTGTTCAGGACATTATCAGTTATAGTTCTAAATAAATAAGTAATGATTGAAGGTAAAAGGAAATTCTAGATTCTCTTTCTTGTGTGTTTCGAAATATAACAAGGTGAAATAGGTCTCTTGTATGCAAAGTTATGCCTTGCTCTGCTTGTTATATCTCTTAGTACCAGAACATGCTGTGGTTTTCTCGTACTCGTGGAACATAAAGCTTCGTGAATTTGCATAACGCAAGTTATAGAAAATTCACTTCGAAGATTCCTTTTTAGCTCATCAAGCTTTTCCCCTTTAGATTCTTTTTAAATATCCCTATTTATGAAGAGGTGGAAGTGAGAATGGCTGTTAAATTTTTGGGTTTTTGATCTCCGTTTATTAAGTAATAAGCGGTTTTGAAGCACTTTAAAGTATATCTTGTACTCAGTTGGTTGGGCATAGCAATTTGTATGCTAAACATTATTCATTTCTTGTTATTGTCCTATGAAGACTATCAGGTTATTGGATTTGGTATGCAGCGACTGCAGTTAAGACATTCAAACGGGAATTTGTGCTTATTTCCAAACGTTTGAATGTTGAAATTTCAAATAGTTTGTGAGAGGATGTACATAAGTTCATACTATATTAATTAAACCTATCACAGTGATGGTGACTGATCATTCAAAATGGGATCCTCTGTAGGCATGCATCAATTCAAGGTATCACATTTCAAAACAGTACATAGGAAGACAAAGAAAGCTTTCTATACTGTTACAAGTGATTAACGTGAATGAGAAAATGCTTAATTTTAATGGATTTAAGATTTTGAAGATAAGCCTTAGGCAATTGATAAGACCCTGTATACTTATTGGTTCTTAGTATCTCAGGAATTGCAACCAAGTGACCTACACTTAATGCACTTGTATCATGTTTTGATCTGCTCACCTTATAACTCTTAATGAATATCATTTTCTTTCATCTGATATTCTCATATCATACGCATAAAGTAGGATACCTAACAACTGTACAGTTTATAATCATAATTCTTCTTCCCTTATGATAAGGTAGATTTCAAAGATGACGAATAATCTTCGATATGAATGTGATCAAAACTTCCTTTTACTAAAGTAAACAGGTGAATTAACAGAGAATCAGGTTTTACCATGGTATTTGTGTTCCACTGGTGTATAGGTGGTGTAGCTGTATGTATATGCTGTTGACTAGAGAATCGTAGGTTTAATCCTTTGCGCATTTATCTTATAACTTGAACACCGCAAATCAAGATACATAGCCAGTAATCATAATTTAGTAGGTTGTGAATGACATCAATGAGAGTAGAAAATCAGTTAATTAAACTTGCCAATAAAATTGTTTATTTTCTAAATCATATTGAAATGTCCGTTGACTTTAACACACCATGTATGGTTATTTTGAATAACTTTATGGCATAAATAGACTATCTTGTCAGGTGGAAGAGGTTGAGTATTCTGCATAGGAGAATGTTCACTCTATCACTAATGGAGTTGAATTGGCGAATGTTTCGGTGAATTTGTAATGAACATTGTTTTTGATCATACGTGCCTTCGTTCTAACTCGCTAGGTAAGGAGAGGGAATCAATCGACGAGTTTTTGAAGCTACATCCATTGAGATGGTTAGGAAATGTATTACACATACATACATCGCCTCTTTTGACGGTCAATGTTAGTTGACATAGGGTCAGGTTGGATAAGAGCTGTTAGTGGTGGCCAAACGGAAACATGACTTCAGTCAATGAAATCCACAACAGTTAGTTTAGACCATGTAGGGAGATGTAGACTTCCTGGTTGGGACGGGACTGTAAACACCAATGGCGGCTGGAGACAGTTAGTGATATGGCTAAAAATTCTGGTTCTCATTGGTGCAGATGCATCCATTCCTTGTGATTTACAATATGCAAACAAAACGACATTGTTCTTTCATATTACTATTCTTTTTGTCTCATCTCTGCTCTGAATCTTTCTCTACTCTCTTCTCAGACTTTGTGCTACAAGGAAGGAGTGTGGCTGCACATCTGTGCGAAGTTCTACGCTGAAGCCAGTCAGTTAGTCGTATCATTGTGAAACCAGTCATACTAAAGATAGTACTATTGAGTAAAGGGTGTAAGTCATTCGGGTTTGTTGAATCCTGTGGTGTTCATGAATTAAGGCATTCACAACCACCACGGAGACAGACCGCTCTCTCATCACCAGACTTTGAATTATTGTGTAGCGATTGGAGTTACCTTTATGTGGTTCGAACAGTTCGTGCATCACTTGAAGCCTTTTCCCCACTGATACTGAAGATCAGACAGCCAACCAGAAAAAATTGGTAACAAACGAACCAAGAGTTTATGGCTCAACAAATGCAGAAAAAAGTGAAGATGGTCCAGACACATGCACACGGGACCGAATGGAATAATAAGAATAATAAAAGAAAAATTATGTAGTCAAACAAGCAGCAATTGTTGAAGTGAGATTTAATCTGAGTCAGGGCAACCAGATTGAGATATGACAGTCATATGTATGTCCACTGGACAACTGACGTAGTTACAACCTTTCTAACAGCTTTCGCTCAAAGCTGTGAAATCGGATAGCACTTGCAATTTTTGCCTAAGAAAAAGAACAAAGATGATTTTATGATGTAGGGTGGAAAAAAGTAGACTGGTGTCTGTTAATTTCACACCGATTTTTGTGCTGCACACTTAATTAATAATAATAGTGATAATAATTATTGTTCTATCTTCTTCTTCCCTTTATCTTTATAGGGCTGTGTGGTAGTCTTTGGATCATTTTTGAAACGAAATCTGATCATTGTCGCCTGTGTTGCATTCGGTGTATGCTTCTTCCAATTGTTAAGTATCATCATTGCCTGTTGTTTAGGCCAACAGATAAGAGAATATGAAAATGTGTAAAGCGGACTGAGTGAGTGAGTGAATGAATGATGGTTGGTTGATAGTAATTGATGAAGTCACTATAATAGTAGCAAAATAAGTAGTAGTATCAAGAGTATTAGTGATGAAAAGGACAACTATTTTTTTTCGCTTGTGTCTGTCTGTGTGTGTGTGTTTATGCATCGGCGTGCGCTGTTTGTTTTTGTCTACTACGCCTCTTCATTATATTATCATCATCACTCGGATTTTTGTCAATGATGCTTTTTTTTCACTCTGTCGACTATTGTGTCCCCCCAAGATAATTCGTGCCTTGGTTATATAACTCTTCTTCTTCTTCTTATATGTGTCGATTTCATATTTACAATCATAATTCTTTCTAATTATAATAATCATAATAATAAATATATACATCGGAAATACATGATGTCATTGTCAAAGTGACTGCGTGTGCGTTTGTGTTGATTTTTCGGTATTTTTCCCAGTATACACACATATATATGTTTACAATCTCTAAAAAGTAAATTAATAGACATTAACAATATTATGAGATAATCAAATCGCCATTTTTGTCGCACACATTCAAATTTTTTCGGTTTGTATCTTTCCCTCTATCTGTGTCTCTCTTCCTTGCCTATCACTGCCGATCTCCACCCCTCCCCACACACACACATGTACTTTTTGACATTTTTAAAGACATATACATATGCATATTACACGTTATATTATAAATGAGTCTATTTCATTTTTCTAAAACAAAAATTATGCTTTTCTGTTTGCCTCCGACATCACATTGAACATTTCTTGTATAAAATAAATGTTTGTTATTCAATAAACTGTGTTGTTTCTATCGTCTTTTGCAGAGTTTCTATCGAAGAGTTATTATTATTATTATTGTATCCTTTAATTCCTAGAGGAACATAGAGCTTCAGCCGTGCGTCTCCATCGTGTTTGGTTCTCTGCTAGAGTCTTCACCTGGCTCCATCTCTGCCCACACGTTTTCATCTCCCCTTCACCTGACCTCCTCCAAGTCACCCTTGCAATGACGACCAACTCGCCACTTCCCTTTCGGGTTCCACTCGAGCGATGGCTTGTCTAGTGATGTCACTTGATGGATTGTTTCCTCAGAGTATGGCCAGCCAATCCATCTCCATTTCTTCCTGCCTATTTCTTTCACAATCGGTTCCTGCTGTGTTGGTTCACTCATTGCCAGAGATCTCTGTTACTGATCTTTTCTGGCCGGGCATCTGATCTTGAGTATTAAGCGAAGACAACTGTTAATGAAGGTCTTTAGTTTGTTTGAGATGCTCCTTATGACGCGCAGTGCAAGTCTCTGATTCGTATAGTGAGTAGCACTGACTGACTTCACATTGGAGTTGAAAATCCGGATGTTATTTTTGATGCTGAGTGCTGTTGACCTCCACACAGACTTGAGAGTAGTGGAAACTTGTCTTGCTTTTCCGATTCTTGCTTTGATATCCTCGTCAGTTCCGTCTGCCTGTAGTTGAGACGATGCTTCCCAGAGGTTGTTTCTTTCAGGTTCCTTCCATTTATACCGATTGTTGTCTGTTGTTGATGTTGCCCAGGAATCTTGATTACCTCTGTTTTCTCTATGTTCACCTGAAGTCCTATCTTTGATGCTTCTTCTACCAACTTGTTGCTTTTCGCTTGCATATCGAGGAGTTATGCTGTTTCATTATATATATATATATATATATATATATATATGAGATAGGATAATATTACTGTTGTCTGGATGTGTGATTGATACTCGTAATGTCGTCCTTATAAATTCATTCTGTATCTAATTGAAAATGTTAATTGCATTGAAGTGCATATTATATCAGCCCCAATGGAACTGATTGCTGACGAAATCTCTGCACAGATACAAAAGGTTCGTTCGCCAAAGAAAGAGAACAAGGGAAAAAGGAATGCAAAGTAGAGACAGTAAACAGATATAGGGCAAAAAGAATAGTAATGTTGAAGGACAATATAGTTTTATTGGGTATAATAAGTCACAAGGAGTGGATGCATCTGTGCCAGCCATTGAGAACGAGGCTTTTGAGCAATATCACCAATTGTCTTTAGCCTCCATTGGTCTTTAACGTCCCGAAGACCCCAACTAGTCAGGAAGTCTACATCTCCCTACATGGCTTGCTTAAACTAACTATTGTGGATTTAATTGACTGATGAGGCCATGTTTTCGTCCGACCACTACTAGCAGCTCTTTTCCAACCTAACCCTATGTGCAGCAGTTCACTACTTTATGTCCTTCATGGCTGGAAGACTTGAGAGAGGGTAGTTTCCTTTGGTCACTGATGTTTTTGATTCATTTCCCATGTTGAGTGGTATCATTTTGTGAGTAATATCGAGGCTAGGCCTGGAGTGTCAGTCGATTAGTAATTGATGGTGATTAAGATGGCTAGTACACGTGTTGTTCATTCCTCCCCTGTCAAACCACCTCCATTCTCGACCAGCAGTCGTAACTGGCATAGGATTAGATTGGGAAAGAGTTGTCGTTGGTGATCGAACCCCATAGCCTGAGCTAGTTATGCCGGTGAGTATAGACTGTGTGGTTCATGATTCTAAGAAGCAATAACTTAAGACTTGATAATAATGATTCAAAATAGTTCTCAGGTGCACTCACACTGTTTGTGATCTCCCGGATACATTAAACCTTTGTTTTTCCATGGTATTATTCTTCCCATAGTTCTTCCTTTTTGTGTTGTATGGAATGTGACGAGTTGAACTGCCACACTTCTGTGCAAAGTTCTACGCTGAAACCAGTCAGTCTTTAGTTATTTTATTCTTAACATGATTAGTAAATACTCCAGCTGATTAATTTGCCTGCATGAATCCATAATCAGTGACTTCGTGGATTGAACCGATCATCTCTAACTCTTTTCATCCTTAACCCTATTTGAGTCAAGACTAAGCAGCGGGACCTGATTTATTGACTCCAGAGGTATTTAAGTACGGTGGAGACAGTTTACTGTCTGCGTTAACTGAGGTTCTAGGCAGCGTCTGGAAATCAGAAGAAGTCCCATCGGGTTGGTGTAAGTCACTGATCATCCCGATATACAAGAAGGGAGACAAGTCTTCTTGTGATAATCACAGAGGGATTAGCTTGACTAATATAGTATCTAAAATCCTAGGCTCAATAATACTGCGTAGACTAAGTGGTGCTCGGGAGGCACAAACACGAGAGAATCAGGCAGGCTTTAGACCAGGAAGAGGGTGTATTGATCATATCTTCACCCTTCGACAGATTCTAGAACATAGGCATTCATACCGGCGTCCGACAATCATTATATTTCTTGACCTAAAGGCGGCATTTGATTCTGTCGACCGGGAGGTTCTCTGGCGATGCTTGGCTGTAAAGGGAATGCCAAGAAAATACATTGCACTGGTTAAGGCACTCTACTCGTACTCATGCAGCCAGGTGAGGGCTTATGGCGAGTTGTCATCTGAAGTGGTGACGACTAGTGGCGTCCGTCAAGGATGCCCATTATCCCCATTCCTATTCAACTTCATTATAGACGTACTAATGGACTTAACCCTAACACACTTCAGCGACTCAGGGATTGACTTGCTACCAGGGAATAATCTCGTTGACTTAGAATATGCGGACGATATAGTCCTTCTAGGCGAGGACTCTGACAAAATGCAGAGTCTTCTGAACACCTTGAGCAACAATCTTCGTATGTTTGGCATGCGATTCGCCCCTGTAAAATGTAAGATGATGCTGCAGGATTGGACTTCACCGACCCCTAGATAAGAAATAGGAAGTGAAGTGGTAGAGCACGTTGACCGCTTCACTTACTTGGGAAGTACCATCAGCTAGTGCCAACGGGTTGATCTCAGACGAAATTTCAGCACGAATACAGAGGGCTAGGTTCGCATGTGCCAGTTTTCGCCGTCTCTGGCGTAGACGTGATATCCGACTACCGACCAAAGGGCGTGTGTACTGCTCAGAGCAGCAGTCCGCTCCGTCCTCCTTTATGCCTGTGAGACCTGGCCATTGAGAACAGAAGACATGAAAAGATTAGCTGTCTTCGATCATAGGTGTCTGCGTTCTATCTCCCGCGTGAAGTGGTATAATAAGGTGAGCAATATTGAGGTTAGGCGTCGAGTACTAGGTAAGGCGCGGAAATCAATCGACAAGACGGTGAAATTACTTCGACTGAGATGGTTAGGACATGTGTTACGTATGCCTAGTCATCGCCTTCCTCGACGGGCAATGTTAGCTGATATAGGGCCAGGCTGGAAAAGAGCTAGCGGCGGTCAAACGAAAACATGGCACCAGTCAATGAAGTCCACAACAGTTAGTTTAAGTCAGCCACGTAGGAAGATGTAGACTTCCTGGTTGGGGTCCTCGGGATGGTAAAAACCAATGGTTGGAAACAATTGGTGACATGGCTCAAAATCGTTGTCAATGGCTAGCGCAGATGCATCCGCTCCTTGTGACTTATGATTTCCAATTAAACTGTTTTGTTCTTCGTTATTACTATTCCTTTGTCTCACACCTCTGTTTACTGTCTATATTATGCATTTCTTCTACTTTCTTCTCTTGCTTTGCGTACTACATGGATTGTGGCGACTTGAACTTCCGCACATATGTGCAAAGTTCTATGTCGAAAACCGACCGACCGACCGGCCGAGTCAAGACTATTGATGAGTTAGGCAACGGATGATTGAGTGTGTTTAGCAAATGTTCTGGCCTTTTTTTAAGTCGGTGGAGTTTTATAACGTTATTAGTTAACATAACCTCTATATTAGCAGTAGAAGGAAAACAAGAGGATAAGAGTGAAAGGGATAAAGGAGAATAATGATCATGAGGGCTTCTTGTGCTTTTGGAAGTGTATAGGCGGTTGTTACTTCCCGTCTGCCTACACCGTAGAAGTTGATTGTTCCTTGGGTTACCTGGCCACAGAGCCGAAGGGACAACTGCTTGAGGCCGGACACACACGGCCTGTATGAACTGGTTGCTTGGATTGGTTCCTTATTAGTAAATTTACTGCCGG